CCCCCCCCTTGCCCTTGGGCGGCGGGTAGCGGTAGGAGTAGGGGTGGTAGGCGGCGTACAGATAGCTCTCCATCGCCTCTTCCGCCATCGCGCCGGACCCAGGGCAGCCGCCGGGGGGCGGCCTTAAATACCCCCGGGGCGGGGCGGGACCGGACCGGGGCCGGGCTTTCCCCCGCCCCCGACGAGCGCCGGCCTCAGCGGCCCCTTCCCATCCCCGCCTGGATCGGAGCCTCGGGCAGGGCATCCCCCTCCCCCGCCCCCCCAGTCCCAGCACAGCTCCCCTGGTCAACCAGGCAGCGCGGCCCTTCATTGCCCCCGCGGCATTAATCAGCTGGGAACACGGGTTTGGTTCAGCTTTGCCATGTATTTGTGGTGAGAACAACGAGCACAATGCTTTTACAGCGGGTGGGAGGCACGGAGATACACACGCGCAAGGTGGTTTGCCCGTTCGTCTGCACTGGCACAGCGCCGCGTCAGCTTCGCCTCTGCAAAACGCTGGTCTCCTTCTTCGTACCCATTCCTGCTGCACTCAGGTGGGCAGGAGCCTCCTTGCCTGAAGACGTACGGTTATTTGCGTTACAGTGATACTTTTTCCTTTGCTTTTAAATTTTTTTTCACAAGTATTTTTGAGGAAATACAACTGTCACGGTAATAAACACACATCACCTTGTACAATGGGAGCGGCTGGAGAAACAATGGAGGCTGGGCAGCTCCGCTTGCGCAGCGGCGAGCGCGGCCCCAGCTTGGTTGCAAGCACAACACACATCACACGTCCCCGGGTGTTGCCTCCTTATCTCGCCTAAAGCGCCGTCTGCGTCGGCTCCATCTGAACGGAGTTGTGCTCCTCTGTGGTCACTGTGCCATATGAAGTTTCGGCCACCTCCTCTTCCTTCAGTTTCTTGTAGGAAATATCTGTGTCTTCCTCTTCACCGAGTGTATCTTGTTTGTAGCTGTCTCTCCCATACATCTTGTATACCAGCACAAAGAGTCCTGCTTCTGCCGACTGAAAAAGCGCGTAAAGCAAGGGAAACATGTACATGCTCCCTATGAGCTCCGGGGGAAAGGTGAGTTTTAGGATGGCAGTGCAGAGCTGGACATTTTGGCACCCTGTTTCCAAAGACACTGTTCTCCTGCAGTGTGGGGGCATTTTAAAGACCGTGGCTAAGCCATATCCCAAGGCATACCCCGCTAGGGGCATCAGCACCGCAATGGTGTAGACAGACGCAGGAATATGTGCCATCAGATCTGGGCCCAGCATGGTGCCAGTTAGGATGAACAGGATCACCAGAGTCACCAAGAGGGACCACAGGGAAATCTGGCAACAGATACAGACATTGATAAACAACACGTGAGTTATTAGTTTAAGAGGATAATCATAGCACGTAGAGGCTTGATAGAGTCTAAATTGCAAACTGTGGTTGCGCTGCCCTTCCTGGGTTTGCTCCTGGCTCAGGACTTTGGTGGTGGTTGATCATATCCTGGGAAAGGAAGGGGCTGAGAGCGCCCTCCATCATTTTGCTTTGGGGCAACTTGCTGGGAAACTAGAGAGCCAGGGCTTGTGCCTCGGTCTTCCTTTCGTAATTAAGCTCATTTGTTTGTACGTTTTAAGGAGGTGTTTCCGTGCCTGCAGGTTGGTTTTGCTAGCCCTGGGTGTAGCGGGAGCGAGCAGGATGCTGGGGAATGCCTCTGCTCCAGGGCCCGGGCTGCCTCCAGGGGTGCAGCGCCACGCTGCCCTCCTTCCCGTGTGCTGCGGGGGCAACCTGCCCTTTCCCTCTCTTTCCGTCTCTGTCCCACCGTTTTATTTCAAGACTGTAAGTCCTTATATTCCACCTAAGTAGTGGAATATGCCTGTGTGAAGCTACCATTGGTTCTGAGGGACCAGAAAGGTTACTGCCGTCGGACCCCTGCCCCGGTGCCGTCCCCAGGCATCCCCCGCAGCGCGGCCGCCCCCCCCCCCCTCCCCGGGGCCGTGCCTACCTTAACCAGGAGGTCGGCGGCGCGGGGGTGCCGGTATCGGATGAGCACCCCCAGGCCGATGGGCAGCAGGGTGCTGCCCAGCGTCAGGCTCACCGCCCCCAGGGGCAGCAGCTGCACCAGGGCCGTGTTGA